CCCCCGCTCTGTTTCTGTCTCTCTTTCTGTGTCTGTGTTCTTTTGTGACTCGTGACTTTTGTTAATAGCAACTTTCATATTTTCATTATTGAAAATGTTCTTTATGAAGTGGTGAAAGTCTGAATAAATATGTCTATATTTATTTGTTCACCCATATATACCGTATGAAGAAGCAGTTTTTGTGATACCAGAATGGACTTAAGGCAAAGTTAGTTCTTTTTGCACACGATCGTACGCCTACGCGCTTTGAATCGTCTTCAAAAAGCCATCAAATCAAATTGTTTTATTCCAAACATCGATCTTACCTTATGTGTTATGTTGTGAGTGGTTATATCTCAATTGTATTTTGTCATGCTATGTCCTGATTTTTTTATTTATTTTTTTTTCTATAATAATTGGACATGTATTTATGGCAGCCCTAACCAAATTACGCTTCTCAACAATTGGATATCTTGTCTTTTTTTTCCTCTAACCAGTGGTACACATAAAGACTGCTGATTCACCATATGCCATCCAAAGTGATGCATCATGGGATAAAATGCCTCTGTCAGATCCCTCCCCGTAGCTCTTTTTATACCAACATGCAAAGTTTTCTTGATATTTGTGCATTTCACCGCCTCTTTACTGAGTCGGTGTTGTAATTCGGTTGGGGAGAGAATCCATAAAATACATGGCCAACTCAGGAGAACTCGACCTGTTCTCTACAACAGTCACTGTAACCGTCTATCAGTGTATGATACGACTTTTTATTATGATTTGGGGATTCAAAAACCAAACCTAGCCCCAGGGGCACTGGCCTGTATGTGATTAAGTAATGGCTTCTCTGTTCCAAACCCGTAAACGTCTCTAAACGATGGTGCCTTGGCCCAATTAGTTTGATGTTGTTGATAATTGCTTACAGGTCACCATGGGCAAAAATGGCAACACCCCAGAGTTCTCTCTTGTTGAAGAAGAACCGTGGAAATTCGGGTAAAGCAGAGTCAGACGCCCCCGCTCCTTACCCTGAGTTTCCCCAGCTTTAACTTTCTGTGGACACAACCAAACGAGAACAAAAGCAAACCAAAAAAAAAGAAAGAAAGAAAGAAAATAAGACTCATGTAAACACGGACGCACCGAGTGGAGAAACGCCGACTGAAGGAAAACTGCACGGAAAAAAGGCCACGGTCACTAAAAGAATTCGGTTTCCATTCGGACTGGAGAAAAGCTTTTATTGGCACCTTCCT